AACCTTCCCAGGAGGCTGATAATCCTTTAGAGCAAATGGGCACCGTAATCAAATATAATCAAATATATAGAAGAAATTCAGTTTGGATGAGAGTATGTGGGTATGTGAGCCTTTCTAATGACTTGACGGGGTCTCCTGTAGGTACCCGAGTTGTTCGGCAAAAGCAAACAAGCACTTCGGGCCCTTCAGGCAGACAGAGCACTACTAGTTCAAATAGAAGATATGGACCATTCACGCCTTGTCACCACTGCTACTATATCTTTATAAAGCTTCCCACGGCAGGCAAAGACAGCTGAATCCAAAAAGCGCAAAGAAAAGGATGTGCAGGCCAGAGTTTCCTATTTGACCAGGTGTAAGAGGGGTGCGCAGTGTGTGTGTGTGTGCGTATACATAAATATATATATATATGTACATGATAAGGGATGTGTAAATGTACCATTTGTCTATGCACATGAGTCAGAGCTTGCGGAGAAGGCGGAAGTTGCACAACCATCCCAAGCAAACAATCATCTATAGAGCAAGTGGTCTGCAAGATTAAATAGAAGAAAATATACGACCATTGTAGATACCCCTTTTGTTTTCCTATTGAATAATAACAACACTAGTCTAGTAGGGAAGAAAGGGAGCCTTTCGCATGGTAGGTAGAGGATGCAGAGGAAGGAAAAGCCAAAAAGCAGAAGAAGAAGGATACAGAGGCAAGCACCGTGGTAGATGCCCCTTCTTGTCTGTCTCTTTTCACCACTGGAAGGCTGAAAGCACAAAGAGTAATAATAAGAAAAAAAAAGGATGAAGCAAACCTGCCAGAGGTTGAAGTTGAGGCCAGGCCAGAATGGCCCATATCTTTAAACATGTAGCTTCTAGAGCTTCAATCATACCTTCGATCCAGTCGCATCACCACCAGGAGGGTGCAATCCCAAAGAAGAAGCGCAAACCAGAAGCTCAGGCCAAAGCTCCAAACATGGTCAAAAGACTTGGACTCTAGAACCTTAATTGAAATGCTGTATCTGCATTGTGCAACCTTTTTGGCATTTAGCAAACAGGAAATCATTGTTGCTATTCAACTTATTCAACCCTGTCCGTGCAGGAACCGGGAAAGGCGGAAGTCGCACAACCTTCCAAGGCGGACAGTCACTTCACTTAGAGCAGCACAAATAGAAGATAAAGAATGTTTGCAGGAGGAAGTTGCTGTGTATGTGCTGCCGGCATTGTTTCAAGTCAGTCCAGAAAGCCTCCCCATTCCTTTGCCCCGAAACCTTATTGGAATCAGCAATGGAAGCAGAGAGGGCAGCCTTTGACCCGCGTGGCTTATCCGTGCTGCAGCTCCTGCAAATCTTGGCCTCCATAGTGCAAGAGATCAGCAGGAGACATCGTGAAGATAGTTGGGAGGAAGTCATTCCAGCCGCTGCTGACACCATGCCGGCAATGCGCAACTTTTCAGCTCTGCCCTACGCAGCACCTGGACAGGAGCCGCATCCACATTGCCCATTCCGGTGCCAATTCTGTGAGAATAACTGTGTTTGCATAGAGCCGGGACATCGGAGCCACAAGTGCCGCGTCCACTTCCGCTGGAGGGCATAATTAAGGACCAATGGTAGTGGCTAGAGGATGCTAGAGGCAGAAGTCACAAGTGCTTACCGGGAAAAAACGCGCTTTCAGTTTTGACCAGACTATATAGAAGATAATGCATTTCCATGTTTTTGGAACACATTGGTTGAATCCGTATATAGGTAGGGGCTAGGTGTCCAAGGGTCTCAGCTTGTTTCTGCAGGCATCTGCAAAAAGCAAGAAGGGGCAAAATGAAAAGAGTAACGTGGACAACGAGGCACAGGAAACCAGGATTGCTACAAGAGAGTATCCAATCATTTCACTGCTGGGAGGCCAAAAGCACAAAAAAGATGAAGAAAGCGGAAGTTGAGGCTGAATCTACCCACACCCTCAGACACTCAGCATTGAGACCACAGTTCAAATAGAAGATAGGCAACATTGATACAACGGGAAATCATCTGCGCAACTTGTTCAGATGCTACCGTCTTTCCAAGGTCGACAGTCACCCAGCATTGCTGCAAGACATTAAAGCACCCGGAAGAAAGACAAATAGAATATATTCATCAGACAATTTTGAGGTGACCATGCCCGTTTTCTTTCTTGTCTTTAGTTTAGCGGTAGCTGTGATTGCGTCTCTATCACCTCTAGGCAGACAAAGAGAAGCACATTGTCTTTCCTTTGGCCGCACAGTGGTTTGAAGAGATCGCCAGCGGTAGGAAACGCTGGGAGTTCCGGAGCTCAAACAAATACTGGACGCCTCGGTTGGATGGGGCCACACATGCTATCTTTCAGAAAGGAATCTCAGCCCAATTGAATAGAAGATAATCATTTTGTTGGTTGCCGGCCTAAACTACAATTGGATTTCTTTTGAGAACTGCCCACCCAGGATACAGCAAAATCGGCAGACTGGGGCCGACCAAGATCTTGAAGATCGAGGAGCTAAGCCGCAACGGTGCAGAGGAACGTGGTGCACCGTGTGGTAAGGATTGGGACACCTTGTTTGGAGAAGATTGCGAGACTGTCTGGGGAATCTATTTTGAACGTCCTGAGGTTGTTGAAGAATCCTCCCACGCGATGAAAAAGAGTGCAGAAGCACTATCTAAAGTCAAGGAGGCCTCCACCAAGGTGGAGGGGAAAGAGAAAGTCCTGAGTGAAGAAGACCTCAAGTCGATGTTCAAGCCGTCAGATGCCCGACAGGTCAAATCCAAAAACCAGATTGAGGAGGAAAGAAAAAGGGAAATCCAGTTCCCAAACAATCTCCTCAAGAGGTTTTGTGAGCATGCCTGGAAATTCAGCCCAAATGAATGCATGGCATGGATCACGGGAACAATAGAGGAGGATCCCAAGACCAAAGCCAAGATCAGCTACGCGACCACTTTGTACTTTCCCAAGCAGACTGGGAACCAATTTCGGGTTGATGAGGGAGAGGATGTCCTCGGAACAGGCTTGGTGGAACATTTGTCTCAATCCAAGACCACAGTAGTGGGATGGATTCACAGTCATCCGACATTCGCCGCTTTCTTCAGCAGCATCGATGCCCACATGATGTTCTTGCTCCAGTCCCAGCTACCACAGGCATATGGCTTGGTGATGGACAGCGAGAAGAAAGTCCGCTGTATGAGGCTGAGCGATGCGGGGATGAAAGCAGTTTCAGAGTGTAAGGAAAGCTGTGAGGCCAGGGGATGACCAAACTACATCTTCTTTAAAAGAACTAAAATTCAATTGTTAATTGAATATCTTCCATGTTATTGGTATTGTGTGTTTTGGGAAAGCGTCTTCTTCCAAGCTTGCCTCGTGGGCGTGACCTCAAAGTCTTTTGCGGCAGGTGACGCATGAACATTCCATTGACAACGAGGCTGCCGTGGAAGATGTCCCCTACTTTGTCCACTATGCAGGCAAAAGGAGTCGCCTCTTGATCTTTGATGAAAACATGGTTCCAGAGATCCTCAACTTGAAAATTGTACAGCAGTTTTTGTGGACTTTCCACCAAAGGAAGCTGGTGGCAGTTATACCCCCTCCATTTGTTTTTACATATCTTCTATGTAATCTGGATAGCCTGGCTAGCCCAATGATGTTATGTTATATGAATATCTTCTATTTTATCCGGTCATGTGGGTAGCATTTGACAGAGCCAGGATTGAACGCTTTGTCTCGGAATCAGCTGAGAAAAGGATTGGACAGCAAGTTCTGCCTGAAGGCAGCTCAGATATGGATGAAAATGAGGTTCCCAGGAGGGCTCCTGCTGCTGGAGTGGAAACAATTCGGGCAAACATTGAGTCCCTACAGAAGTTCAAGAATTGGATGCTTGCTTCCATGAGCGTTTGCTTTGGTGATCCGCCAGCTGCTTCCCAAGAGCTCCGTGCCATGGCTGCGGAGGTGGCTGATGCCAACCCATCTATGAAGCAAATCCTCGAGGATCTTGAGCTTGGGAAGGACTCCGCATCTGTGCTTGATTTTTCCACCTTTGGGGCAAGATTGCAAAAAGTGGAAGCAGAGCAATTGGACATCCAAAAGGACTTGGATCAAGCAGGCCCGGTGCGGAGGCGCCGAGGCCGGCCCTTCGGGGCCAAAGGAAAAAAGAAGAAGCAACGGAAGGACCCGCAAGAAGAGTGCGGAGAGCCTGGAGGGCCTTCTGAGAAGAAACAGAGAAAGAAACAAAGAGGAAAGAAAAAGAAGGCCAGCAAAGGAGAAGAACAGGAACAGGCTGTGGATGTGGAGGGGGAGGCAGACGAGGACCCCATTGTCACTGATGGAGAGCTGGAGGAGGAGGAGGATGAGCCCAACAAAACGGTCACCATACCTTTGTATGCCAAGTGCTTGGTTGTGGAGTTTGCCAAACAGGTCATTGCAGAAGGGACAGTGCACAGTGTAGAGCGTGAGGTGATGACCAAATTTAAGAAGTACTTCTTTTCCTATAAGAGCGGGCAGTGGAAGAGTGGACTCCTGGGAAAATGGATGAAGCCCCTCAGCTTGGATTTTTCTTTATATAATGTGTTTTTTGCTTATTTCTGTTATTTCTTCTATATTAAGTATTGTGTGACCCCATTTCATTTCACCAAACCTGATACATATATATATATATACAGTATATATTATACACACGCCTAAAGAGGGAGATGTGCGCACGCGCACACACACACACACACAAAACCACTCAAATAGAAGAAACAAATAAAATAAAGACCATCCAAGGATGACAATTCTCTCCATCCAAACCTTTGAGGACAATCTATATAGTCTGAGTTGTAAAGCGGATCCCAACTCTTTCTGATCGGTTTTCTGTGTTATGTTATGTTAGTTGCTTCTATTTGAAGTGACCCGTGTGGCCCATCCCATCATCTATATAGTGGGTGCAGCAGTGAGGACATATGATGCTGAACGTCATGATCGGATCCCATGGACAGAGATGAGCTTGAAGCATCGCAACAACCTGAAGCAGCTACCAGACTGGCTCCGACGAGCCATGGGCCTTCCTCCAAGGTTCCGAAAGGGCCATTCCCTGCAAGTTCCAATTGAAGTGGAGGCTTGCTTCAACGATGTGCTGGAGCGTATGCTTGCAGGCTTCGCCAGGGACTTGCAAGCTGTCACCAATTTGAAAATGCCTGTGCTGGTTGACACCGCCCAACATATTTTCACTTTGTGGTCAAAGGCTTACGCAAAGCTTTGCAAGGACTCCCAATGGATTGTTTGTTCTGACTTAGCTCTGCCAAACTAAAGCAGAAGTTTAAATAGAAGATATATTTGTGACCATGCCGTTAAGTGGGTTTATTTTCCCATGGGCGAGGTGGTCTAGACCGGGAAAACACACATTTTTGATCATTTTTGTAGCATTTCAAATAGAAGATACTCTAGTATATCATGAGTCAATTGCAATGCTGCAAGGACCATGAGGTGAAGGAGCAGCCAATGCGGCAGAAGCCGATAGATGCCCGCTGGGTTCACCGCTTTCTCTACAAATGGCAATGGGCATACCAGGCATCGAACACCAAAGGCGCTTACCTTCCTGATGATTGCGAAGAGATGCAGGAGACGAGACAGGCCCACAGGATGAAGCAATGTGCAAAGCCATCCAAGCTCCGCCGGTCTGCAGCCCGCTCAGAGTTTGTTGTGGGAGGACGTGTGGGGGTGACAGCTGTAACGAGCACATGGGCTGACGGTACGATGGGGCCGTTAGGTGTTTGTGTGGCATCAGGCAGTCTACCTCTGGCCTGGATTCAGCAAATGAACTCCGATTACCGTGGGTTCGTTTACATTTTTGAGTCTGGTACAGAGACCCACTTCATGAATGCAGAGACTACCATGCTTTACCTGACGGAGTTGATTGGACCTGTGCCCTGGCCAAGCTTGCGTGGAATCTAGGGCGCACTAAATAGAAGATATATATATATATAGAGCTTGCTTCAGGGAAAATGCCCAAAGACATCTGCTTTTGGAAAACAGTATATAAAGTGGGGGGATGCTTCTGTCAATGCCTTTGTCGGCTGTATGCACCCTCACCTGACTTGAGGCGCTAGAGCTCCGACGTGCAGCTTTGAAGCTCGACAGCGAAGACCCAGCAATGCTGATTTGCGATGGATTTAGCGGCAACTTCGCAACTGCAGACAACCAGGATGCTCGCCGCAGCCTTTGGGCAGCAGAAAACAATGTGATCCTTCCGCTCAGACCTCCTGGTGGATGGAGTTGTCACGGGCAACCGTGCGATGCCTTCCACCACGTTTTCCGAAAGCTGGGAAACACCTACATCGACTCTGTTTTAGGTGAGCGAGGGAGACAAAGACATTGTGCAACAAATGCAAACACACACACACATATCACATATTTCACATTCAAATCAAATAGAAGAAACTCATTAAAATCGAACCCATCAAAAAGAAGAAATGCTATTATATATAAAACATTTCATTTTCTTCATCCAAGCATATATAAACCTTTCAACCCTGTGCAGGATACAGGGATCCAGGTTTGCTACAGGCATCACGGCCCTTTGAGATCGGCCTAAATGGGCAAAAGCATTTATCAGTGTCTACGCAGGGCAACGTCAAAGCACTGATCTTTGCCTGGCAGGAGATGGCAAAGTATAAAAGGCTCTTGCGCTGGTCTTGGGTTAGCCGGGGTTTGGTAACCAAGGCATCCAGAGCTGTCAGATGAAGAGATGCAGCAAATGGATGTGGAAGCTGGCACGCCATTCCGAGAGTTGGTGCCTGACATTCCCATCTTGGTCCCGACTCTTATCTCAAGAATTGATTTGTGTGTTTGTTATGCACTATTTCGATTTATTTCTTCTATTTGATATGTGCCAGTGGTTCCTTCCAATTTTGTTGCAATTTTTTGCAAGTGTTCAGATATATATATATATATTTAGCCCGACATCTGAGGCCAACTATTGCAGAGGCTGTTCGTGAAGCCTGTCCCGGAAGAATGGTGCACGTGTGGCAAATGATGGACCCAGAGAGCCCTGATGCGGAGGTGTGGTTGAACTTGCCCATCCTCATGCAGCAGCATGCAGATCGCGCGTATTCACAATATCAGCTCCAGATCTACGAGGCCAGCAAGCGTTTGGAAAGAAAGGAGATCAAGCAGGCTAAGTACAATGCTGCTGTGGATAATTGTATCAGGCCTCTAATCCTGATGCACAACACGGGGATGCCGGCCACTCAAAGATATGTGAAGGAACATTTGCAGCAGGGCCCCGATGGCACCATGAAGCTCAAGGCAAATTTGCTTGAATGCTCAAATGTTCAATTATATAGAAGATAATCCTGGCAAAATGTTTCTTTGGCATTTCACTATGCAATGTCGTATTCCAGTTAAATAGAAGATATAGTATACCAGGGCACTATAATTTGCATGTTTAAATAGAAGAAATTGGTTACGCACGCGCAAAGAACTCTGCCTCCTAAAAGGTGGGCTCCCGATCTACCATCATCTTGTTTGACTTCAAGTTGAAGAGGGTGAAGATTGGGGCTTTGGGGTGGACAAACCTCCGAGTGCTGCAGGTGGAGACCAAGCTGAACTCTTTGGAGATGGAGGTTGACAAGTCTTTTCTGCAATCAGTGGGGCTGCCTGGTTTGGAGATCTACGACAGCCAGGATTCTCCCCGGGACGAACCAGAGCCAAATGAGCCTCATGATGCAGCAGATGATTTGGCAGCCAATCAGCAAATGGTGCTTTGCTGGCAGGCGGATGGGGAGGACCTCGAGACCGTCTTAGCAAAGGAAGTTCAAAATTGGATGGACAACCAGGACAAGAATGAGTGCTATGTGCCCGATGATAGCATTTGTGCACAGGAAAACATCGGATCTGAAGGTGAAGAAGAAGACCAAATCAACGTGCGCTTCGATGAACATGGAAACTTAATCGCCAGCATAGATGAGTTGGAGCTAGTGGCAGAGGGCTCTACAAAATTCCAGCCATCAGGAACTGTGGGAGGTGTTATTTGTTTAACTTGACAATCTCGTTCAATGGTTTATATGTGTCTATATATAGTGATTGCATTCCATGTTTGAATCAATGGCTGCCCTTTCCTCCAGGAAAGCAAATGGAATACAAGAATTCCGAGGCCTGGAAGGCCCTGGATGCTCAAGGCTTGGCTGACACTCCGCGCAGCCTGGGAATCCAAGGGTGTGGTCTTTGCTACAACAGGCCTGTTTATGTTTCCTTCTTTTGAACGCGTTTCTTCTATTTGAGTTGGCGGTTGAGCTCCCACTACTCAATTTGAACATTGTGGATTTTGTTATTTTCTTCTATTTGAATTGGAGGTGAAGAGCATGTTTCAATCAATTGAGATGGACCGATTCATATTCTGTTTTTCCCCACCTATTGCAGGCATGGCCAGTGGCTGGGATTGTACCCCGGGTGCCCAAACATTGGCAGATCTTTCCATGAAGGCCTTCGATCAGAGCGCAAAGCGCTTCTTCTAGTCCTCCATTCTCTTTGGTGTCGCCATCAGCAGGCATTAGGAAATGCAGCGGAGGACACTACTGTTCGTGAGCTGCCTTTGGCCCAATACATTGAATTGTTGGCAGAGGAAGTGTCTGCTTGCATTGATTGAAGCAGGACCGTAGGCTTCATAGATAGTTTCTTTGTTTGGACATGTTTGGACCCTGTTTTAGGAGAAGCCCCACAGTTAGGTCAACCATATTGAAGACCGGAGCAGCCACAGTTCCATACCTCGTGCCTGTCATGCCATTTTCCTAATTAGTAATGAGCAGCGTTGAGAAGTTCCCATATCTCACGCTGATAGCTGGTTTTGCCTGCTTGGTGCAGGGTTGGGAGTAATGCTAATTTAGCAGCTGTGCCATCTTTTAATCGATGGACAACTGTCAGAAGAAAATCGCATGCTGGTTTAACCTGCTTGGTGCAGGGTGGGACGAATGCTAATACAGCATTGCCTACAAACAAAGACATATTGGAGGGTTGGAAAAAGGAAGCGGATTTCTGATGTTCTTGCCCACTGGGGACAAATCAAATAGAAGAAACATAATTGTTTATTTTATACACCTATTGTATGCTACAATAATTTCACCACTGTATCTTCTATTTGATGTGCCCCTTCATCTTCTATTTGATCCTGGATCGAAATTGGCCAGACTTCATGTGGCAGGCATCAGAGAAAGCTAAAAAACTCGAGGTTTTTGGCACTTTTTTCACCAGAAGACCCATGATGAGCAAAATGCAATTGGTCCTCCTGAGGAAGAGGAACTTTTGCAGAAATCAAACATTTTTCTGCCGGCTAGCCCGGACTTATCTATGGCACATTCATTACTTCATGAGTCATATTTCTTGGTAAATACCACATAAAATGGTGCCGGGAATAGGATTCTTTGAATGTTCTGGAAAAGGATGACTTTGGACTGAAATACACCCACCAAAGGACACTTTGCATTATGCAGTTTATTCTATTTGAACCTTTCCTGGCAACCCCCTCAAACTGCATCTTCTATTTGAAATATTCGTCTAATATCTTCTATAATAGTGGTTATGATTATACTTGTCTCTAACCACATCTCGTGAAGCACCCGTGAACCACCATGTCGGCTCCCTGGAAGTGACGATGCTCGCCAAAAGTCATCGGAGAGCGGGCAGGGAATGGGTTGTAATGCTCACATGTTCGCTCGGAAGGTTTTAGTCGCCTTCAATTTTCACAGCGGACCTCACTTACACAGTAACGAACCTCAGCTCTAAACTCTGTGCATCTTCACCCTCAATGATCGTCGTAAGCACCGGGCACCGCGGGCCTAATCCGGCGTGTGCCGCGACTGTTCTCTATCAATCTCTATCACGTCTTCTCTCTGTCTCACTGCATCCATCGGAGGCCTATGAAGAATCCTACCTTGCAGGACCAAACTCTAGGCAAATCACCCCTTCCTGGTTACAGGTCGCCTGAAGCTACCTTTCGTATCCTTTCGTTACCTTTTGATCGTTCTGGTGAGAAATCCCTGGTGCAAGTGCGCCGCAACGGGTGCTCCCGGGCTCAACAGCGGTTGGCTGGACCCTCTGGGGCTCCAAGCTGGGTGGTGCAGCACCCGGGCCGTCTAAAACGGCCCATTGAAGGAGGACCACATAAAGGCCAGAAGGCAGTTCGATCTCTTTCGTCCCAGAGGGCCAGAAGGACCAAGAAGGCCGCGCCGCACAACACCAAGCGCTGGAGCACGATGGAGTCACCACCAGGAGGACAATGGAAATGATTATATAGGGGTTGACCTCGGATCAGGGCCTACTTATAAATTATAGCATGTGATGGGTGGAGGCCAGATCTGGGATCTCCAATTTGAGGGTCACGGTGGTAGGAATCTGTCTGCCCTTGTGACCAGGGCTTCGTCTGAGCAGATGGCACGTTGAAACGGGATGCTGCAGCTGCATCACAGAGGAGAAGGATGCGATGGTGAACTGGAGGATGGCCATCCTTCCCGGTCTGGGGTTGTAGAAAATGGATGCTGTGCTAGCCGCCGTTCACCCTTTCATGCTCTCCGGCAGACCTCGTTTTCAGCCGTGGAATGCCGCAACACATCCCGGTTCACTCCCCAGCGTCCGAAAAAGCCACCCGACGCCTCATGTCTGCGCAGCATTCGAGTCTTCTGTGGCGCCCTTTTGATGGCGGCGACGACCGTTGTGGGGCACAACACACGATGAGCCGCTCTCATCGCGTTCCACCCGCAGCGAGCTTCGGTCGGGAGCCGTTCTCCGCGGGCTTCTCGGCACCCGGAGGAGACCGGAACAGGCTCTGAGACGTGAAACGAAGCACGGAAGCATGGACATGCGCGGCCAAGCAAACAACAAACAAACTGAAGACGACCGCCAAAGCACCAAGACAACGAGCTGAATATTCATGAATGTTCACAAGAACACTCTCAGACAACAAGCCTTTCAAGCAGGTGGCAATAAGGCTCCATTGGTGCCCAAGCTGCCGACCAGGAGCAGGAGACGTTGACAAGAGCAGCATGGCTTCGGAGAAACAAAGCAGACTCCTTCAAAACGCTTCTTTATCACATCCACAAAAAAAAGGCGGGTTCAACGACTCCAAATATACCCAAAGATCATCAAAGATCCAAGCCCTTTAGCGACAGAATCCCTGCAAACACCCCACAAGCCTCGCCCTTTCGCTGGGCAGCCCACTCTTCCGAGGCGCAGCATCACCGTTCCGACGCCAAGCAACGAAGCTTCATCGAAAACCCGTCGAAAAACCGTCGAACATCGCCTTTGCTCTGAACCCCACGAAGCAGTCCCAAGCGGAGCGGCTGACGGAGCGGCTCACCCGACGTGCGAGATTCCAACTCCTGCGGGGCCGGTCTCAGAGCGACCAGGATCGGACCAAATCGATGACAGACCATGAACAACTCAAACCATCATGATCACAAACCAAAGGGTCGGGTATACTGTCCAAGTCGGTCTGAGATCATAAGCGATCTCCATGCTCTCAATCGACGATTTTGAAAAATCAGCGCTGCGTCCAGAAAAATGAGTCGCCCACGTTTTGGTTCGCTCCTTTTTCGCCTCGAGCTGAGCACCTGGTGAAACCAATGGGTCTGACAAAACCTTGGAGTTGCTTGAGGAAAGATATAATAGCAAATATACATTGTATCATTGTACATAATTCTCCAGAAGGCAATTCACCCGTAGGAAAGCAACAATCACCCTAAGCAAAACCAGGAAACTATCCAACCACTCATTCAAGATCTTCAATGCCTTTCAGCAGCTCATCCTGCCGTGAGGGGCGTGTCTGCTTCGGGACTCTATGATACTGATTGATTAAATAGTAGACTCTTTAGGCCCCGGTAAGGGGGGCTTCCCAAAGTCTCTTGATAGATAAAATGTAAATAAAACAATAAAAAAGATAATACATAACAATCCCTCGAGAGTTCGGATGTCTCAGTGGTTCATTTTTGGCTTCTTGCGAGTTATGAAAGGGTCCGTGTATCCAGTGTCATCCCAAGTGTGCAAACAGGGGCACCTCATCTTCGTTCGCATTGCTGTCCAGCAGTGCTTCAGCATCCAAGGTCAATACTGTGTGTACCTCACGTGTGACTGGTTTCGCGCCTCACTTCCCGGCGTGAGGGGTTGGTCACACCGGCGGGTTCCGCGACCGTGAGAGGGGTGTCCGCCCTGCCGGAAAGAAAGGTGACGACGCGACCGTGACGACTCGCCGCTGCACACGTCTCGAACGTCGAGGGGGAGATCGGCAACTCCTCATGGTGTGTCATTTGTTCTACGCCCTTCTTTTTTGGGTCTGATGCACTTGTTAGCTGCTAGTACCGCTGTATATACACATATAATTTATATTATATATATATATTATATATATATTATATATATATTTATTAATATATATATAATATATATATGTGTGTGTGTTTTTAGCGTCCTGGTGTTCAATGCACGTGCATGTGAATTGTTCACTGGGATTTGGGGCCGCCAGGAAGACTCGAGGGCCGCACCTCCACTGAGCAACCATGTGTGCGATCGGGTTAGCCATTTACCCATGACCTCACTCAATCTGGGGCCATGAGTGAGGTGCATCAGAGTCATTAGTTTTTGGTGCATGAGTCACTCTCTGGGCTATTAGTTTTTGCTGCATGAGTCGCGATAGCTTCCAAAAGCCTTGAGTCGTTGAAGGTCGCAACAAAGGTGGGAGAGAACTGGACGTCCATCCCTCTTCCGTCTGATCGTTTCTTTAAGCCATCAGCACGATAGAACTTCTCTACCCAGTGGCTGGGGTCACATCAGGAAGAACTGGAGGAGACACCGGAGATGCGCTGTCCTCACACTTGGCAAGTGAGCCAGAAATGCCGAAATGTGTGCAACTAGGGTTTACGTAGCTTTGACTAAGAACACAAAAGGATGAAAATATGCTTAAACACCTTTCCTTTTATATAGAGTTTAACCCACCGACATCCATAGAAACCGCCTCCTTGGATGGGGGTTACAATGTAGAAACCACCCCCAAAACGAGGACCCTGCAGGAAAAAAGATGCAAAAAGAACTGCACTGCGTTTTTTTGCTGGGAACTTCGTTGAGGTCTCTACCCAAGATATCCCCAAGATGAAGTCCCATCGTTCCCATCCATTCGTTGTTGGAAGCGGTCTTCACCAGCGGTCGAAAGCCTCCGGTCCTCGATGGTCGTATCCAAGGCCAAGTCCTGCAGATCAACCCAGATCGACCCGTCGTCCCTTGTGCCATCCTCCGATCCTCCCGAACCAGCTGCAACGCCGGACATCCCCTCGAACCCGCTCATGCGTTCGAGGCGCCGGAGGGGGCCGGAGGGGGCCGGAGGGGTGAGCTGAGCAAGCTCAAGCTGAAGAAAAACCCAACAAGCTCGGACCAACAGAGGATCCAACCACCTGAACAAGAACCAGGTCGACCAGGCGGAGCGCCACCGTTCCGCTCCGTCACCGTGGTGGGTTGCTGCTGGTCGTCTTCATCGAAACGGCGCATGAGCTCCTGCCGCGGGCGCAGGCGGGAAGGGATTCAGTAAGCAGAAGGATTTGCTGTCCAGAGGAACCGGGAAATGTTCAAGGATTCGAGCCTGGATTCTTCATCTTCCCCAGGGGGAAAAAAACGGGAAAAAAGGGATGGAACTCCGGAACTCACAGCCAAGAAGAACTCACGGCCTTCCTGGCTCCATGAAGAAGCTGGACAATAACCCGGCTTGCGGCCGTTTCGCCTCCCTTGCAGTTGGTCTCCTCTCTTGCAGTTACCAGTAGTCTAAAAAGAAAAATGAAAGAATTGTAATTTTGGTTGACCCAACCAACAGGACGGTTGGAAGAGTCTGAACTTTTAAGTGAAAATCCAGCCGGCACTGAGACCCTGCCAGGTTGTTGGCAGGGCGAAGTGAAAGCCTACCCGAGCAATTTAGCACCTCTACCCTTTGGGTTAAAGCCCATGTAGACCTTGATTAAAAAAGCACCCCCCATTTGGATGCACTCGCTTGCGGGCGTGTCGCGCTCCCACTCCGTCCCTTACCCCGTATTGAGGTGGGTGTGAAGTGGGCAAGGAACCGGAACCTCTTCATCCATAGTAGGGGAGTGTGATTGTAATCAAGATGTCACATGAATACATCAATACACTGTAGAAAGCCCACAAACCAGACCACATGAACCTCAGCCCGGATCCCACCCAAAAAGATCACCAAGCAACCGTTCCTTTTAACCGCACGAAAACACGCTTCGCACGCGACACGCGGACCCACCGCGACCCCCGGTGGCCTCGAAGTCGGCGTCGAAGTGCGGCGCGGCGGTGCCGCGCTCGGCCTCTGGACTGTCCGTGGCCAAAGAACCCAAGGCCTTGGCGAACAACTGCTCCTGGGCCATGGAAGAGGTGAAGAATGTGGGAAGAGGTGACATCGACTTCTTCTTCACAATGGACTAGACAGATTGTACAACATCCATCAGCTAGTCCCGCGTCTCGTTCTCAAGATCTGGCTCCTCCCAACACCCCACCCACCTCCATCCGCGCATCTTCGTCCACGCTCCGCCGCCGCGCGGCGCCCTTCGTCGCGGAGACCGAAGCGACTCGACCCGCCGCACCACGGGGGTTTCGCGACTCGCGCGACGAGGGGCGACGGAGAGGCGACCCGAGCTGCGGGGGGACTGGTGGAAAGCGGCCAATGGGGGACTCTGGCGATGCTCGGTGATCCCTTGAGGTAGAAAGAGGATGAAGCATGATAAAATAAGTGCCCTTGACATCATGGTCATGGCCACTGCATTGGACCATTGGAATCGGAGGTGTGCAAATGATCTAATGGCATGCTTGACCTTTTTCATGAACCAAAAGCCCTTCGCAGATTCCAACTTTGATAGAAATCCAAGTCTAGTACTGGATCAAAGGACTGGTTTTATCAAATCGGCCCATTTTGTCGCACTTCTTCTGCTCAGATGCCACTGCAAAAGCCAGAAAGAGGGACACCTGGACTTATGGTGATTGCTGCTGTGGCTGATGAGACACCATCGCCACCAAGAAACCTCAAAAAAACACAATTCCCGACTACGGACAGCAGACGTCCCCCAAAAGAGACCGTTTCACGATGTCCAATGCCGCGACATCTTTCGAGGAGATTGTACGACCTTTGGGACAGAATATGAATATTAAAATCTATATATGTATAGTCTACAATGTCAATGTCTACAGTCTACAATTGAGGTCATGTTGATGCTTCACGAGTCCCACGTTTCCCATGTCTCCCATCCTCCAAAGACTTGTCCCGCCTCTTCCAAGGTCAAAAGCCTCGGCATAGTCCAGGCGGCTTTCAGTTGGCTCGAACAGGATGTCCGTCTCGTCCGGGTCCATTCATGTTCAGTGTTCGTTGGTGAAAAAGCCGTGTGCGGCAAACCGGTCACAAAGCAAGCAGATGGCAAAAACTAACCAAGAACATAGGAGCAACACTTGACCAGATCGGCATGTGTATATACTTGCTTAATAGAAGTTGAAGCTGAGAATAAAGTATATATAAATCTATGCATCACAGGAGCTTGGGCAAATCCCCAAGTAGATGGCTCATGCATGGGTCTCACAATTCAGACCCCACATGGAAAGCGTTCAACAACAGTTTCTGCAGGTTCCCCTTCCTGCAGCCATGCCACGGGCCCTTCTCCTCCTTGCCCTTTTCCCCAACATCTGCAGCACCCCGCTCCCCTGCGCAGAACAAACAAGGGCAGATGCTGGTGATCTTCAGTGAAAGGGTTGGTCAGGAGAAAGCATCATATACTTCGATGGGAGTCAGGGGATTGAAAGGTTGGCACAGTATTGGGATGGTCAACCGTTTGTCCGGTTCCTCAACTCGATGCTCTTCGCTTCAACATGCCAAAAATGCCGCAGCTGCCCGCAGATCGCTAGTGCGAAGAACAGAACATGCCGGTTCCCAACGTGCTCCAAGCGTTCCAAAGGGCTTCAAGTCACCGGCAGAGTGGTTTCCCGTGAGCCTGCTGCGCGAGTCATCTCCACGCTCGCCCGCGGGGCGCCCGCCTGAGACGAGAACTTCTGGCCATCTCCCGGGTCCCCAGGTGTTCGGAGCCTCCATCCATTTAGTCACTTAGTCTGGAGAGTGTCTTCCTTTTTGGTCCGATACCCATCCACTTCTCGCAGCTAAGCCTTTGCTTGCAACATGCCCGCATGTTTCTCGAATTTCTCGTGAAATGCTTTGCACGCGAATATGGGCAAATCCTTGATGTCCCACCGGGCCAAGATTGCATGAGGAACCTCTGTTTGATCCTCTTTTCGGGGGAATTCTGCCATGCGCCCTCCACGCTCCCCGAACACTCCCCCTGTGCCGCTCCCCGGCACCGGCTCCAGCACGGTCTGCCGCCGGCTGCTGCCTGGCGCACGCGAAGCTTTGCGATGGGACCCGTGAAGGCTCTGACGGCGATCGGAGGAATCGAAGGGGCGGCTCCGTGGGGTTCGTCCAATCCGTCGATTCTGGCCTGTTTCTCGCACATCAACGGGTGCAAGGCTCTGTCAATCTTCGATTGCTTCGGTCGATCTTGGGTTGTCCCCACCCCCTAGACCCATGACTCCATGACGGGCCTTTTGTGGGTGTCCAAAGCTTTTCCCATGTGCATCTCTTCAGACCCAGCTGTGACCTCTTCCCCTCTCAGGCCATGCTGCACTCCACTCCCAGGGGGCGCCTTCAACAGCCTCAGTCTTGGCCTTTTGTGGCTCATCGGGTGAGCCTGGAAGCAGCTCGACCGGTCGACCGACTCGGTAGAGGCGGTAGAGGTTAGAAGGTACTGGGCGACCTGTAGACAGACTGAAAAGGTCATAGGCATAGGTGAGTCCTCTCAAGAATTTCTTTGACACCCCGAACAAACTGCTTTGGACATCTTTGGACACCCTCTGAGAAAATGTTCCCCGGAGTTCTTGGTGCACCGCGACCCCTTTTCCACGGCTGTGGGGTGCAAAGTGACCCTCCGTTGCCTCTGAGCTGATCACTCGAGCTCAGGGAGCGCATGCCCCAGCAGTGGCCCGCCAGCAGCGCCACGTAGATGGCCTGGCCATCGCGTCGCGATGATGGCCTGGTCGGCCAGTTTTGGTCCCAAGAGCCAGACAGACCACCTGAACCCAGGATGAAAAATCCCCTCAATCCCATTTGATCCTGGCGTGTACCGAGAAGGGGGGCCTTTTTGAAGGCAAGCGGGAGTGTGTGTCTTGCACGTGTCAACCTGTTGGTGTCTTCAAACTGGTCTTGGCCAAGAAATCCAACTGCTTCTAAGATTCACCGATGAGCACCACACACACATGCACTCCCAGAATCTCCCAGAGAGTGTCACATTGCTTCGCGCTTCGCCCGCCAACTTCGTTCCCCAGCTCTGCGCGATGCCTCGCTTCGCCCTCCGTTGGCCACACGTCGGCCAACGGCACGGCTCGGTCGGCACGGCGCGGCGCGGCGGCGGCTCGGTCGGTCTCTCGGCGCGTCCATCGGTGGCACCTGTCGATCGGGCTTCCAGGCAGCCAGCTCACCTGAGAGTCAAGCGGCGTCCAGCGCAGTCAGCGGCCCCGCGCTTCGGCTGGATCAAGCAGAGAGTGGAGTGAGAAAAAGACCTCCTTAGATCCCTAGAGGGTGCAAGAGATGAGTTGTGAATTTGGGATATCAGCAAACTAAGTAGAAGGAGGTATACTGTGCAAATATCACTCAAACGTATGATAAATACGTTGGCATGGCTTGAGTCCCTTTCACATCCGGTCATGGATCATTTCCGTTCATGGATCTACTGATAACGGAATGAGTATGGTGTGGTTTGAAGTTTGAACCTGCCAAGACGATCCAACAAGTATGAGATCAATTGGATGGAACAATGCAGCTCCCTTTCTTGGGCCGTTCCGGCAATTCGCCAACTGACCAACAAGAATACGCCAGGAAGATGGCCACGCGTGATTTTCCTGTCAAGTGGCTATAGATGAAGCCTCCAGTCAGCACAGCCGCCAAGCCAGATAGAACCTTGGGAGAGAAAGCACCCCAAAAACCTTCGCCCAAGGCAGACTAGGACACAAAGGGAAGAACTCACTGCGGTAACTACTGTGTCTGCAGGAGACGTGGCGCATGAATTGTTTTGACTTCAAGCCCAGTGAATCCATGTTGACACTGATCCCAAATCCAGGGCCGAGTGACGCCATAGGCTGCCAGCACTCGCAAGCTGTCGTGCACCTCCAGCGCCTTGCGCAGCGGAGAAGCCGCAGCCGATCGAACCTCGGGTTCTGTACATCTCGGGCGTTGTGGCAAGTCCCACTTCAATCATCCATCGGTTGTGCATTGTGTGCTGTGCGTCTGTGATTGTGTGTGTGTGTGTTTGTGATTGTGTGTTTGTGATTGTGTTTGTGGTTGTGTGTGTGGTTGTGTTTGTAGTTGTGTTTGTGTGTGATTGTGTTTGTGGTTGTGGCTGTGTGTTTGCGATTGTGTGTTTTGTGGTTGTATTTTTTGGTTGTATTTGTTGATTGAGTATTGTTTGTTGTTTGTGGTTGCGTTTTGTGTTTGTGTATTGCGGTTGTGTTTTGTTTGTTGTGATTTGTGTATTACAACATCTCGGCAATGTTGTTGTTGCTCTGTGACAGTCCAAGTAGATATATTATATATACATACTCAGCATTACTCAGCAAGTAGCACATTCAATACTATTCAATCATCAAACGTCGCTGCCCACCCAATCAACGAACCACAAACCCCCAACGCCTTGCCCCAAAAGGCAACGCCTCCGTCGGATCCGTCGGATCTGTCTGAGCACTCCCGGCTGCCAAGATCAGCCCTCCGAGCACCGGCAGCGCCGCCCAAAGCTCCAGCCTCCATGCGGCGGAGCGACGGGCGTCGACCGCCTCGCGGGTGGAACGCGCACGACCGCGGCCGGTCCGCGGCCTTTGTGGAGCTTGAAGGAGACCACGGGCCACTTGCGGCAGGGCCTGTTGGGAAGAAAAGCGGAGATGGGCAAGATGGGTCCCGTTCGAAAGCTTCAGACATAATCCAGCCTTGAGTAGCATGGAGGACACGCCAAAGTTCAAAGCCGCTGGAAGGCAGCTCACAAAGGCATTGCCACCACCTGTAGAGCACCAGAAGACTTGCCACATCTGTTGAAGTTGGGTCCAGGTCCGGATTCCTTTGAGCCGCCCTCGAACCGGTGCCCCAAGGCCTCGGTAAAGGAGGCAGATGGCCACTCCCAGGAGGAGGAGGATCACCACATAAGCACAACTCCTCCCAGGTTCTGAGGACGCAGCTTCGAGGGTGCGAAGAGAAACCCGGTCTTTCGAGTATTTTGGGGAGGCTTAAACTTTGTGTCTTGGGTGTTCAAGGGTTCAAGAGTGATCGCCGAAAACGACGGCCAAATGGTGTCCCCACAAAGGTGGGATAAGTTAGATCCATGCACAAGACCATCTGTGTGCGCGACAAAGCCGGAGATGCCAGAAAAAGAAACCACGCATCATGCGCTCTGGTTTCCCAGTCCCATGGATTCTTCAGAGTTAAGATCTGATCTGCTTGAAACCCCGTGAGCCTCGAGCCCACGTCCCACCGCGCGCGGCGCCACGTCCCGTCCCGTTCGGCGCCGAACGAGTTCGACGGGGCGGGGCGGGTCCCGGGAGCCCACAACGTCTCCAGAAGGGAGTCCACCTGGAGACGTCGAAATGGGAGCGACACCGGGGCAGGCTTCAATGGGAGCAACAGGAATCTGTAGAAAAAATTCTACCAGCATAGACCCCAAACAGCTTCAAAATGATTCGTTCGGACCAATATTAGCCAAAAGCGATTTCTTGGTACGTCCTACCTTCCCCCCAAGAGCAAACTGCTTCATCAGTTACTTTTGTCGGCACGCTAATTGTTCGGCCGCAGGACAAGAGAAGACAAGAGGACAAGACCCGGTCACAGAGCCCGGACACAGAGTTAAGGGGCGCGGCCAGTCAGTGGGTCCAGCGCTGGTCAGCACGGCCAGAGGACAAGAGAAGGACAAGAGGAGCGGACACAGAGCCTGGCCACAGAGTTCAGGGGCGCGGCCAAGACAAGGACAAGAGGAGGACAAGAGGAGGACAAAACCCGGACACAGAGCCCAGCCACAGAGTTCAGGGGGGCGGCCAGCGAGTGTGGCCAGCTCTTTTTTCTAAGATAGAACCCCACCAGTAAACTGTTTGGGGAACTATAGGATTCCTGGCCATCCATTGGTTTAATGGTCTGAATCCCAAGAACCATTGTAAAACGAATGGATTTTTACACTACACCACCAGCTCAACCGTTCTTGTATATAATGGTATAAATATATATATATATATGATATATAGTAATCCACGGACAAATAGAAACGCTGTCCATACATATTTTTTAGTGGGCATCTATTTTTCTATCTATTTGGGGGGTCGAAAAAAGGACCAAAGCACCTGCGTTCATGCGGGGATCAGAATGAAAATAGGACGATCAGTAAATCAACACCCAGAGAGACAGGAACTCTGCTACTCACTCCTCCGTTTGGGTTCGACACGTACGAAAGCTCACATTTGCAGAACCATGGTCCACTTGTTTTCTTATCTGTTAAGGCCTGGGTTTCCACAAACATACTGCGGACACATGGAAGATGGTCTTTCTTCTTGCTTTTCCCACCGTGTTCTTCGCAGCACACCTGCACTTCTGCAGGCTGCAGCACGCCGCCAGTGGGATCCAAGCATGGCAGGATCCAGACGGCCAGCGCCAACGCACACGAGAGCACCTGACAAACGTGTATATAATCTTGCTTGGCTGTGGAAGGTGTGTGTATATATAACATAATATAATATAATATAGTATAATATAATATAATATAATACAATATAGTATAGTAGTATAGTATAATATAATATATATATATATATATGTGACAAGTTTGACAAGAGATTCACGGGTAGGCCGGTTACACCAAAAATGCACCAAAAAGACACCATGCCGCCACACCCACCTTTAAAAAAAAGATTGATAGAAGTATATATAACTAACTTAGTATAACCATCACCCTTCTTGAGCCAAAATCAACCCAACGATTTCACTCGCACCATCGATCAAGTGGCCCCCCTTTCTCCCGCCTCGTTCAATTGAAGCACTTTGGCTCGTTTCGACTCCTGGCGTCCGCGAATCCACCGGGGACGGAAGGGAGGGGGGAGGAAGGGCCGGGCCGTTTTCCACGGCCGGTCGCGGGTGGCTTCTCGGATGGAGACTGGAAAGGGGCCAAGAATGCCCACTGACCACCACGCCTCGATCTCGGCGAGATCTCGCATCCGTGGCGGGAGTTCCCGGGCCTTCCAAAAATAGAGGAAGACCAAGCAAGAGGCATTCATGGGGTACGCCTGCCGACAGCTCGCGATTCGTCCGTCATCGATGAGAGGAATACGTTTCAATCCGTTCTGTATGGATACAGACATGGCCGTGGAAATGCGTGGAACATGACTGGTTTGTAAGTCACCTTGATCCGTTTATATAAACCCTCTGTCAAAGGTACTCCGCTCGCAGAGCCGACGTGAATCCTGGCGATGGAAAATTCAGAGAACACCAGAAAACGGACATGAAGTGATAAGGCCAACAGTCTGTCAGTCTGACCCCCAAAAAGACATGTTGAACAATCCTTCACAAAAGGCGCAAAATATCACACCCATGCAAAATCCTCCCAAAATGAACACACCATTGGAACCGCTTTTGCCCTCGCCTGCATCAAGGGCAAAAGCCCCAAAGCCACCAGCTCCGCGACCTCGGCTCACGGTTCACCGGTGACCCAGCGTGGGCGTGGAAACCAACGGCCTTTCTTCAGAAGGATGTGATGAGTCTGTTGAGATGTGGTGTCTGGGCTGGGTCTGAAAACCAGGGCAAACCTTTCGATGGCCGGTTTCTGGGTAAACAATGGCAAATGACGGAGCAACACGCCAAACAAGTTAAAAGAATTCTGGAAACAAACAACTCCAGCAGACCCTAACATATATATAAATATAGGCGGATGCTAACGGGTGGCCAGGACAGGTTGCCTCTTAGCGCAGATCAATACAGGACGATGATAGGCTAGTCCTGGGTTGTGGACACTTGCCGGGACCTCTTTCAAGCAAACACCACCCCACCACCCACCACGTCCGGCTCCAAGTCTGTCCAGGTGCCCAGACCAGGCCCACCCAGAGCAGACGCCGGGCACCCCGCTCGGTGACCCTGGCGGGCCAAAAAGAACTTCGCTCCAATGAGCCTCACACTCCTTGTGATTGAACCCTGATTGGTCTCCAACCCTTGAAGTGTCTCGCATCTCCCCGTCCGCTCAGCCGAAGACGACAGACGAATTCCTCGACTTCCCACGGGTAACTCACCACTTCCACGGTGAGCTGGAGGAGTCCACTCCACCGCTTTTGTTCCACACGGGTCCGCTCAGTGGCTTGGTCGTTGGTGTGCCTGTGGAAGGGCGCCGCCATGGGCTTCTTCGCAAAGCGGACGTACCTCCCAGACGACTGGTGGTCAGTGTGAAGGCAAGTAAAGCAACAACTGAAATGGATGACATGTCATCCATGCAATTGTATGATATCTTTAAAGTAGACTTGTTGAATCGTTCAACCGGCCCAAGCCTGGAGAGGTCTGACAATCCTAAAGGGGCAGCGATTTTGTTAATCAAGAGTCTATATACATGAGTGTCTTTTTTGTTTAAGGTTTGATGCTGCTCAAACCCTAAGCCGGTTCCTAATGACAAACCTGTGGATTCTTCTGACAAGCCCGTCCACCTCAGAGCTCAGAAAACAGTGTCACACCTGGGACAGTGTCACCATGAACCAAATCTGCCATCTCTCGTTTAAGAGTCCCAACTCAACACGTTTCTCTTGTAAGCCAGGACCCTGATTGATGGCCACGCCCTCCTTCCCCTTGGCTCAAACTTGTGGAGCTCAAACTTGTGGACCTCTTCCCCATCCTTTTGGCCCCCGATGTTGGTCACTGCAATGTGGATGCGACCACCACACAGGGCAGGCTGACAAACCTAGTTGACATGCTGGCGGACCATTGGAGCGGGTTTCGGGGAAACAAACCCTTTCTTCTACAGGTTGAAGTGCAATCCTCCCCCGCGGCGCTGAAAATCTTTCTGGAGGTTTCCAAGTGTTTGGAGGTGCTGGTGTTTGGAGGTGTAGTCAGTCTTGGCTTACGCAAGTTATTCCTTATTGGAAACCCCTTTTTTTCGTCGGGCTATCTCCACTCACACGCGGAACCAGTGAGATATGGACATCTGATTTTCATCTCTTTCAGGCCGGTGGTCATCAGGACCCCTTCGAGTGTCCTGAAAACATGTGGAGACTCCTGTGGGTCATCTCTCGTGCCCCTGGCTCTACTGGCGGTCGTCTCTGGTCGTCTCTGGTCTCTGATCGTTCGTGACCGAGACCGAGTGGAGACCTCCCCAGCACAGATCCATGGGGATCCCATCAATCAGAGACCTCCACAGGTCATGTGATCCACTGTCCAGATCCCCTCCACCGAGCCCTCACCCACTGTGACTCCGTGCCGCAGATCCATCGAGCTCTGCATGCGGAGCACCGAACAAGCGGTGCACCCATGGGGCGCGGCCGCAGCTCTCGGTCGAGCGGAGCGACCGGAGCGGTGTCGGAACCGTTCCAGGAGGATGCCGTGACTGTTCAGCCTCTTGTCACGTTGTTTCTTTTCACATGGAACTCGCGGAGACGTGGAGACGTGTGGCTGGGGAGTTTAAAGCTTAGGACCGCTCCTGTGGTTGGGGAACAGTCTGGAAGTTGTGGAACGGTCAGAGTTGGGGACTCCAAGACCTTGGGCCTCAGAGGTCATCCCCACCTGGAGAGATGATGGGGGATCCCAAAGCCCACCCCCGAAAAAACCTTGTTTCGCGACAAGTTCATCCGGTGGAGAAAACGTGCAACACGCCCGACGATGTTTTGGTTGGGGACGGCCGGGCTGTACCGTTGCCACCGAGACTTGTATACCTCGGTGGTAAAGCTCTTTGTGGGTTCGGCTGTGAAATGCTAAACTGAGGGTCTTGGGCCTCTTGGCCTTGCTGACTGCTGTATCGTTGCTGGTGTTGGGTTCTGTATTGGGCTTGAGTTCCACAAGCTACGACCATCCCATGGTCGCTTCTTTGCGATGTCAATCGTGAGCCAAAGGCTGCCCCAACCAGACAAACCGAGCAGTTGGTAGCAATGCTGCAACTGGGTGAATCAAACACTCAGGAGCTGCTGTGTGAATTGAGCTTCTCAAGCATCATTCTCTGCACCAGTCACTTGCACCAGTCACTCCTTGTCAAACGGAGTGGAACGGCTCTTTTTTCGGATCTTTGAAGTCTTTGCGCCTTCCACGACATCACCTGACAAATGCACGACCAAAGCCGTGTGCTTTGTCGTCACATCCGTCAGATAAAGAGGGCGTTGCTGAAGGACCTGCAGGTTAGTTGAAGGCACATGGAGGAGGTCAATCGAAACCAAGCACCAAAAATATCGCGTTTCAGTAGTAAAGTACTATATAAACATCCAAAACATAAAATATGTGTATACAAAGTGGCCTTGAGCCACAGCCACATGTCAAAGACTGCATGTGTCAAGACGATGCAGACCTGCCCACACTCACAGCAAGACTGTGCGGCTAGCCCTTTTCCCCCGTGAGATGCACATGAATTCGACTGTCAACGTCTGGCATGTACCGGACACCAAAATACCCGCTCCACTTTTAGGAGACATAAGCGTACAAAGGGGCATTGCAGACATCAGCCCGTCCAACTGCGGAAGGCCGAGGTTCTGAAACCAGCGGGCCATCGTGTTCTCGTGCAAAGGGATCCAAAAAGAGAACTGTGGGGCGCTGAAGAACAGCGGCGATTCAACATCTGCGCACCCCGTAGTCCTGGCGTTCAAGGGCATCTGCTTCTCAGAAAAAGTCCAAGACTTGGCTCTCGCTCTCTGCGGCCCTAAATGTTAAACTGTTAAACACAAAGCCCATCCTAACCCCCCATGCCCCGTTGTTATTGCTTCCGCGCCTCCGCTCTGTGTTGAACTCTGTGATCTGTGGAACTGATTCGCATGGGCGAACTCTAGGCGTCCCAGGTCACCGTCCTGGCTCTGACCATGTTGCTTAAGCCTCGACCTGTTCATGTCCGCCTTGGCTTCGCACTCCTCACTGTGTGGCCGCTTCTGCGGGAGCAGCAAATCTCGGCGCCGGCGCCCGGCCTCCAATCGCCCTGGATCCCCCATCTGCGCCGCCCGGCGCGGAGAGGGCGCGGACAGGGCGCGCAGAGGGCGCGGCTGGGATGGATCTGCCACATGGTCACGAAAGCCTCGAGTTGTTTTGAGATCTGCCTCTTCCTCCATCTCAAGGCCCCTGAGCCTCTTCATCTGAGGTTCGTCCCCGCGCGGGTGCGACGCCGTGGCGCGCGGGGTCCGCAGGATCCGGTGCGGTGCCAGGATCCGGTCGGGGGGCGTCAGCAACATCTCTTCACGTGCAGGAAATCTCTGGGCCTAGAAAGGTGTGTCGAAGCTCCTCTGTGTGTGAGCTTTATAATATGTTGTACATATGAGGGACGGTCAAGACTCCTTATTCTTCTTCAACTGAAATAGCATGTGTTGACCATAGTTAATATATATATATATAACCATCCTGAAGTACATAGAATTTTGGTACAACTCAATCCCGCGGCACTAAAAAAAAAAATCGGGGTCCCAAAAGCATCTTCAGGATGGTTATATCAAAACACCCGCGTGCCTCGAATCGAAACACCCGCGCGCGCGCGAGCTCGCATCCTATGTCCCTTTTCCTTCTCCCATTTTCTCCCCTATGTCCCCAGTAGTGTCAACATCTGTCAACCTGCTGCAGCCAATGTAGCGTGAGATTGGTGATTGGGATGCCTTTTTGGCGGTCGCAACAAACAGAGCCTCAAAATGCCTCAAATAGGTTGGTAAACAGGTAGATAGAATATAAACAGTTTTCCAAGTTGTAGATGGCTTTGGATAGGGATGCCGGACCCAGGAGCATGCGGTCCGGAAATGTTTGGAAGTTGGACCCTCTCCCAATCAGGATAAGTATAATTGCTCAGGCTGCTGAATTCCACCGGCTGCCAAGCACCAGAGTACACACGGTGTTCAAAACCGTCAACCAAGGTTGTCAGTAGAAGCACTCACCAGAAAAATAAACACAGACATTGGCAACCTGCCATGCTTTGGATGCTTGCGTTTCTGCGGCCAGTGTAGCATGAGCTTGGTGGTCAAAAGACCATTTTGGAGGTCCACACGGGCAAACACAAACACAAGTAGCTTGGTGACCAGGTACATAGAATATGTCTCGACCAGCTTGAAACATTGAATTTCCCAGAAACCACTCATTAATCAGTTTGTCTTGGGGAGGCGATTGAACCTTGGACCTTTCCCAAGCAGAAGCTGCACCACTGTACAAGCCGCTGCATTTTGATCGGATGCCAACACCAACACAGAAACAGCTTGCAAAACAAACATGACACTTAACAATAGAACAGGATGGTGAGCGGCAACCTGCCATGCATGTTGGAGTTTCAAGAAACCTCCCAAACCCTGTGGCTTTTTGTGGCAACTTGGTAGCTGTAGTGTGATCTCAAGGATCTGAAACAGTTGGTGGAGCGTGTACATAGAATGTGTTTGCTATTTAGTAAATTTGAATCAAACTCCAGAATCAAAAGGGCCTTACAGCTTGGTACGGGGAGTACATAGAATGCCAGAAGCCACAAGCAGCGTGGGGTCAGACAATCAGGCCTCAAAAAGCGGGTGGTTGTCTATAGACGGAGGGCTTCAGTTTCTTCCATGATCTAATTTATCTCCAACATGGATTTTACCAACTAGCAACAATGTGCATGAGGACTCAATGCAAATGACTCAATCGTCCACATGACAGCCCCCTGAGGCCCAGGAAGCCTTTGGGCAATCGGCACCTTCAGCCGACCCCCCAATAGGATCATCGGGTTCACCAAAGAACTCAGCAAACTCAGATTCGTTGTCAGAGTGAACGACCCCTTCTCCAGACGCATCCTCCTTCTCAGCTTCTGGAACTGCACCTCCCAAACCTTCACCAGCAGCTTCTGGTAGAGAATCAGGCTGCCAATCAGCTTCTGGAGGAGCCTGCATTCTGAAACTGGCATACCTGGGAGTCTTTGTACCTGTTTGTTTAGCACAATCCTTCACAAAGCTCTTTCAACAAGTGAAAAAACATGTTTAAAAAAGAGTCCTTTTGTTTCAACCTGAAACCTGGAACCAGCATCTTGTAGGCTATGTTTTGGTGATATTCCTGCTACCAGCTAACATCACCGAAATGTCATATTGTAGCACGCGTGCCTCCAAGACCTCGAACTCTCTGACAAACAAATGATAAAAGGGACCCTGACCAAAGCGAAGGGCCAGGTGGGCTGGGTCTAGGGACATCTTGACTTCAAGAGCAAGGCAGGTTTTCACAGTCCCAGAAGATGCTCCCGATGGGCGGGCCACAACCACCTTGCTTTGCAAGTCCAAGACCAGCTTCCTGTAGGGTGCATCAAGGAAGGACTGGTATGCCTTTGCCGCCGATGGAGTTAATGCTCTGCCAAGTTTCGCTCGTTTGGCAATGGCACCATCCCATTTCCTCCTCAATTCCATCCATTGGGACATCACTACCTCTAGAGCGGTGTTGAAGAACCGAGGCAATTGTAGTGGCTCTGCGCTTTCAGTCTTGACATACCAACAGTGCATCTTTTCACCCTGCAAAGGTACGGTTGCTTGTTGCCATGCCAGTCTGTATGCACCTGCAACAGAAACCATGATTGATCTCTTGAGGTGTTTTTTCAATTTTTGATATGAGTTTAATATTTGATTTTATACAAAATTTTCATAGGTGCCTTTTTGGTTTTGAAGTTCTTCCCAGGTGTCCATGTTTAATAGGAAAGCAATATATGTATGGACAGGAGCGTGCGCATTTACATATTCTATGTATTTGGTACCCGGTGGTGGGTTGTTGTAGCAGTGACATTTGCTAAAATATCAATGAAGTCAAAGATGCAAGGCACTTTTGTCCAAAGAGGGCATCTCCTTCAAGCGCAAGAGGTCACGATATGCTCCCCGGGTACTTTTCATGTGCTCCTCAAGGGCTGAGGTATCTCCGTCAAAGTGCCACTTGGCAGCTGTCTCTGGTGACATGTACCCCCTCGAAAGCCAAGCCCCCAGAATAACCTTGCCACAGCGGTACCGGGAGATCTGAGAAAGCGCCCATGCATCTGCTGCCAACGATGTTTCCAGCGGGCAGGAAACTTGAGGTAGTCCACCTTGAGGTCCTATTTCATACTCTTCCATCTCTTTGCGGAAGATTGGATTGAGGGGAAGGCCTGACAGGGATTCATTGGAATCAATATTATGTCTATCTGCTGAAAATGTCTCACGTTCCCTGTATTCCAACAAAGTAAAAACTATGGTGGCATTCCTCTTGAGCAGGCGATCTGCTGGGTGGGTATGTACATAGAATATTGCTCGGGGGAGCTCAATTAGACCATCCTTAATTGAATTCTAATTGCTGGGAGGGAACCTTATTGACGGACACAATAGATAGAATACTCTATTGTCCTTGAAAAGAATATCTCAACAAGGAGTTGTTTGAGGAGGATTTCCCCGCAACTTGGGTTTGAGCATCCCTGCCTAAGCTACTGCGCATAAAAGCCATGCGCAGAAGATGAAAGTGTCCATGCCACCCGTCATTGGGGCTGCAGCTCAAGCTCCAACCTCCCGGAATTTGCACATCTGCCTCCGGATCGAGGCCCAGAATCAGGCAGTTCTGTTCCTTTGCCCAGGTTCTCCTCATATCTAAGAATGTGCGGGACAAGTGGCTCGTGCATTTGTCTGCTATGACCATCACCCGAGCGCTGTGGTCCTTCCCAAGCTTCTGTCGTTGTTTCCGAATCTCCACTGTCAAATGATCCAGAAACCTCACACAGGTTGGGCCTGACCACATGTGTGTGTCTGTGCCTGAGGATTCGCAAACTAGGATACCCTTGTAGTCGTCATTGACCTTCTCCATTTCAGCAGGTGACATGGTGCCCTCGGGGAGGGTCACATAAGCAAACCCCACTTCGCCGGTGATCCATGATACCGTCGTGGTTGTCCGTGGTGACCTGTATGTGCAACCATCCTGGAGTAGATAGAATATGAACCAATCCAAAAACATGATAAGTTTCCCATTGTTTTTGGATTTCTCATTCTATCTACTCCAGGTATGCATGCGTGCAACAAAAACCGCAAAGACGCCGCTCTTTGGAAACATAGTGTTTGCATATGCTATGTTGTTGTCACCACAACCTGTGGTGGAAAAAGATACGAATCTTTATATATTCTATGTATCTATATCTGCATGTAGCGGTTGTAAATCATTGTTGCATATTCTATGTACCGGTCCGACCAGCGGTAGAGAACAACAAGATAATGTGGCGCAGGCCTCCATTGTTGGATGCAGTTCACCCCACCGTAGCCTCGGATATCTGCGAGCCTGTTGTGCCATCGGGTGTTCCGCTCATGCACAGGGACCTGCACAGTACTTCCAAAATGTTCCTGAATCATGGCGCGGAGGGTTTGCCGCCGTGGAAACCTGCTGAGATCATCCCTGCTTCCAGCTTCTGAGGTTTTCCACAATGTTCTCCGCATAGGCTCATACCTGAACACTCTCTTTTCACAAAGAAAGCAGTAAAGCTGACAAGGTCTGAAGCTGGACCTATACAGTTCTTGAAGCCATCAATCAAGTTGTTCAGCAGAAAGGGTGAATCTTTGCTGAAACCATTGACAAACAAAAAACTCAAGGCCCAAGAGAGAACAAGCTGCAAGCAGCTCCACACTTGATCAAAGTTGAGCACCAATCTTTCATCCACCTCGCCATTGCGAATGGTCATTTGGATAAAATCCATCACGTGCTGCACTTGAGGATGGTCTCGTTGGAGATGTCTAGTTGGCTTGGATTGTGCAAACATTGAAAACCCATACTTCTCTGCAAAGTTCAAGGCCAATTGGTTGATGGATCGCGCCGTGTTGCCCAAGCGAACCGGGGCAGGCCAGGCGGCCTTGAGGGCCTCTTGTTTGCTCACCAGCTGCTTCACCTCGGCTTCTGTAGCCCCAGACGCGGTCAAATTCTCAACAGCTTTCAGATCAGCTGCTTCACGTTCAGATCGCCATTTGCTGACCACTGCATTAGCTTCGAGGCTGTCTGACAAAACCTCCTCGATGGATGTCACATTGAGCTCCAACCCCTCCCGGGTGGCTTGCATAAGGATTTGGTCCACCACATCATAGATGTCGCTGACAATCTTTGTGTGACCAGGCCCCTTCACCTGGTTGATGTCCATCCGGGATCGGAGCCAGTTTGGCACCTCATCATACTTGGCACATATTGAAGGACATTTCTCCATCAAGGTCTGCCAGCAATACTTTTCTTTGGATTTCAGCCATTTGCCAGCTGCGCCTTGATAGTAGCCTGGAAACTTCAGCGCAATCAACTCCTGCCCACCAGTGTTTTGCAATTTGTAGCTGCAGTCCCTTTGTCAAGAACAGAACAGGCTTTTGGCTACATTCTATGTATTAGAAACATGATGGGAGGTAGGGATCTCATGCGCTTTTCATGTATGAGGGAAGGACTTTGAGGTGCAAATGGTACAGACTCCAAAAATAACATATTCATACATATTCTATGTATTGTGGTTCTTCAGGAGCCCGGTCCTTTTCCGGATGCTTAACATTCTTTTGCTGCAGCTCCTCATACTTCGCAAGTATCTCCATTTTCTTGGCTATAGTCAAAACACCGCCCTTCAAGTTCTTCCCAGTTTTCTTAGACTTGCGAGCAGGTTCCTCTGGCTCTGGCTCTTGTCCCGGATCATTTGGCTCGGGCTGCTCAGGACAGTTCCTTTTCTTGCCTCTGGTTGGCAAGATTGACTTCTTTTGCTTCTTTGGTGGCTTCTCTGAGGAAGGATGTGCCTGTGGTGTTGCTGAACTGCCTGCTGTCTGAGGTTCACCAGATTCACCATGACCAGATGTCATTTGTCGCTTCGCGGCAGCTCCAAGAAGCCCTGCAGAAGCCGTTTGCACGACGTCGGCCAATTTCTCCCAAGCTTGTCCATTGACCATTGTGGCAAGCACTTTGGCAATGAGAATGCTAGTCGTAAAGGCGTTTCCAGCAATGTCATGGGCCAGCGCTGGTTCCATGGACAAGATGGCATCTGGATTTTTGAACTCGTTGGCATACAGACCATGGGCCAGCAGCATCTCATGGCCACGGACATGACGGTGGGCCCCAAATGCCCATATCTTGTGGGAGGGTCTCACACAGGTCAAAACATCAAATGCCCATTCGGGGTGACGGCTCTTGCTGGTAGACGTGTCAAAGGTGACCTTTGCTAGTGGTATTCCCCGATCTTCGCAGGTCTTCTGAATAGTAGCAACGTGCTTGGCCATATTCTCACCTTTGGGCAAATCTTCAGCAGGCAAAGCGTCATCTAGTATGGATGATAGCGGGAAGTGGTTCGGAGACTGGAACCGTTGCATGGTGATCCTCATCTTCATTTCATATTGCTGAGCATTCTCCCCAAAACAGCTTGATCCCCACACGCGCTCCCGGCGCTGCGGCATCAGGAAACTACTGCTGGAAACCTTCACATACTCAAAAGCGTGACCTCGCTCACTTAACTCCTCAGGATTGGGATGGCAGCGAGAAATACTTAGAATATAGAGAGCTGAAGCCCTAATAGAATATCATGAGTTAAAGCAAGAAACAATGCAAGCATATGTGTGGTAGATACGATGTTATAAGATTGTTGCCTGCTTTGCTCCAAATTTGCCGAGACCCCATGTCATGACTAACAACCTTCTGACACACAGTACATAGAATATATCATATCTGTTTAATATTAAAGTATTGTCTTTGACAATGTAAACAAAAAATAACATGACGTTTCTTGAATCCCTATCCACCGGGGTCCTGCCGAACAGTCTCAATTGCTGGCTTCTGTCGGACATTGTTCTTGTCTGTCAAGTAGTGCGCTACATCTTTGACATTCTCAAAGGCTGAAACCTTTGCTTCTAGACTCTGAAGAGCATCTCTGTAGCCGTGCACATATGTTTCTCCTGATTCAGAGTTGCCCGGATCCTCGTAGCATGAGGCATAGCTTGCTCGGTCCACTCGCTGCCCAGACAGGTTGATACAGCTAGGACTCGCGATAAGCAGGAACACCTTGGGAAACTTCACCTGTCTTTGCTCACGCAAACAGAAAGCCGTCTCATGCTGCAAGGACTTCACGTCTGCAAAAAGGTGCCCAATATCATCTTGATGCAGGTCGAGCAATAGTTTTTGCTTTTGAGGGTTGATCTCACAAGCAAATTGGCAAGAGGCTCGCACATTTGTTTGAAATCGATCGTTGATGGCTTTGAGCAAGCCCTGGATGCATGGGCCTGCACTGGCAATTCCACTGCATGTGGAAGCAAACGTGACGACTTTCCCGGACAACCCCTTGGCAATCTTTTCAAGCTTTTGCAGTTCCCAAACTGAAAGGCGATCCAGGAAATAGTGAGAGATAGAACGGTAGGTCATCTCTGGCTGCTTCCCTTGAAGGAAAGTTGTGTCTTCTGCTTGCCTGATTTTGGACACACAAAAATGTAAGCAATATAATGTGGCTGTATTCAATGATTTTATATAAATATTCAATGATATTCTATGTATTGTGTCCCCAAGGCGTATCTGCATAAACAGTGGTTCCTTGAAGGAACGTTGTCTCTTCTGCTTGCCTGATTTTGGATACACAAAAACATATGCAACACAATATGACTATGTTCAATGGTATTCTATGTATTGTGTTCCCCAAGGTGTGTTTGCATAAACAGTGGTCCCTCGAAGGAACGTTGTCTCTTGCCTGATTTTGGATACACAAAAGCATATGCAATATAATATGACTGTACTCAAAGATGTTAAATATTCAAAGGTATTCTATGTATAGTGTTCCCCAAGGTGCGACTGCATAAACAGTGGAAAACATACATAAAACGTCTGATGGTGCTGAATTCTTACGAGGGGCATATCTCGGAGAATCTCCCTTCTGGGCACTTGGATAATCTTAGGAAGGTTGCGTTTGTCCTTGGTTTGCTGTGTTCGCTCAAAGATTTTATGCAGCGTATGAGTCTTGCCATTTGGGGGATTCAAACATTTGCATTATTTTTTGCATCGTATTCCATGTACTGTACTCCAAAGGGCAGGGGCCCTCACCCTTGCTCAAACAGCCAAATCATAAAGCCATCAAAAACTCCGCAGCCAACTTTTGTAAGTGTTCCCAAGCATCCCAAAATACATAGAATGATATAGAATGTGTTCTTGGTGGTGTTTGTAGTCAACGTGTTATTATTAGACAATATTGAACCCAAGCATTGCCCAAGCTTCGCTCTTCCATGTCAAAGGAGGTTGCAGAAGCTGCTTCTTCCCAATCATCCACGCCCAGACTGGATTGCCCTCTCCAAGTGCAGTGAGTTGCCTCTTGGATTGGGCAACATTCAGTTTGTAGCCTGCTCTCTCCAAATTTTGTAGACATGTCTTTGATTTGAGCTGCTCCAGCCCCTGCAAGATAAAAGTGCCAACAATGAAGACCACACCTTTTGTGCACACGGCCACATGCACGCAACCCGTATCAATGTCTTGTGGCCTACAGCTCTTGAGGATCAGAGTGATGTCAGATTCATCCTCTAGTAGCTGAGACGACTCGGCGTAGCTCATGCCAAGAACTGTGAGGAATTCAGGTTGAGCAGATTGTTCTGGACATGCCGGCTTTCCTGAATGTGAGACTTTGCTTGCTTCAAAGCTGCTCCACACACAAGCCCAGGTCTCCTTGTCCATATTCTGTACTCGTTGGCAGCCTTTCTTGATTTGTACTGGAACAGGTGTCTCAAATTTGTGTGGATCTTCTAGCTCCCATGCGTACATCCGGCTCCAGGATTGCGCAAGCTCTTTCAAAGTCTCAAAAGGTACTTGGTGCTTGGCCATGTTGGGCTTGTGAAAGGCGAAGTTGTTGGCAGCCTCCTTTGTAAGGTCATAGGGTTCCCAATCCCCATCATCATTCCGCAAAGCAATGAGGAAGCACTTTGTTATTCGAACTGTGCCACAAACTTTAGAATCATTCCACAATCCGCAAACTCCACAGAAGCTCCATGGCTGATTCCTCAACTCCCACACCTTCTTCCCCTGGAATATCAGGTTTGACCAATGGGCATGGACATGCAAGATCTTCTCGCAACGTTGTAAAGCATCCAAGGTTGGCTCACTTGAAGCGACAAAGGGCATCTCCTGGGGAGAATGTCCAACAGCAACAGGCTACCAATACATAGAATATTAAAACATCTCTTAAGAGCCCTAAAGCTAACAGCTTCTTTCCAACCTTCCGAAAGTTTCTGAAGAAAGTCTGAAATTCATGGAATACATGTTTCCAAATCCCATCCTCTGCATTCGGTAGGCTGTCTGCACTTCCAACACTCTGGAAGTCAGGGCTCGGTTTGCTTGCAGCTTCTGTGGTGGTGTAGGACTCAGGTTCTCCCGAAGTGACAGGATTAGACTCTTCCTGTGGCAAACTCGCGTGAGGGTCATCCGGTTCAGGCACACTTCTCTCTGTCTGGTCATTGCCAACCGGTTTGGAAAGATCTGGAGCTGGTTCACAATGAACTTGTTCAGAACTCCCCTCCACGCCACGGCGACCATATCCAGCACCATTACGCTCGAGGAAGTGCACGGGCGCATGGGCTGGGAGCTTGATGTGGGCACCATCTTGATGAAGCAACAGGTCAAAATGCCCTGCGATCCTCTTCCCATTTTCATCCAGAAGCCATCTGTAGTACAAATGGCCCAGGGGTGAAGGGACATCCTTTTTCCCATAGAGTGCATCAGGCGGTACGTCAGCTTCTTGACTCTGAACCTGCCCATGGAAAGTTCAATGCATTCGGAGCATATTCTATCTATACTCAACAGCAGCGGGGGGATACAGCAAATAGAAAAAGAAGGTACCGCCCTTCCATGACCCCAATAATGTTCAAATTGAAGATTCTTATGTAAGGAATTTGTTCAATATCTGAAGCTTAGACTCTTTCAAACTTGACAACAAAAGTTCATTTATTCATATTCCGTGTACTCCACCCCTGCAAGGAAAGCCCGTGACCCTGGCCTGCATGTCCATGGAAATCCTCAAACAAACGCCGGCCATCTCACATATATGGTGGGCCGCCTGGAAGGACACCTGTTCAGAATCAGATACTTCTTCAACTACCTCCTCCGGAACAGAGCCTGGCTTCTCCAAGCACATATTCAGAAACTCCTGGCGAGTTGCTTTTGCAAGATCAATTTCCTTTGCAAGGTGTTCAGAAGACCTTGGTGCGCCAGAAGGCGTTCTAGGCACATTGTAGGTTCGAGGAAGTGTAGATCTCAGAATGCAATGCCAAAAGCACAGTCCATCTCCCAGAACTGGGATCCTCTTGAAGCTGGACAAAGGAGACGGTTCAGAGCCGGAATTCTCAAGCAGGTGCTTTTCAAAGCAGCGGGTCATCAGGTCACCCAAAGGAATCTTGGCATTTGGCTGCAAAGCAGTCACCAGGAATTGCTCACCCTGGACACGTCTGGATATGTACTCAACTTCAACTTCATCCAGCTTCAGTCCAGTAGATGATGTTTGAGCTTCCCATGCTCGTGCAGTTCCAACCTTGATTGGGTATGTCACGATGATGACCAATATTTTAGGCTGGTGCTCCAGGTGTCGAACAATCTTGGCTTTGTCGTCTTCCAGCAAGTCGGGTGGCTGATCAACTGGTTTGCATCTAATGAAGCCCAAATGACTCAAGTTCATGCCTGCTTGAGTTTCGTTGCTGAAAATGTCTTCTGCATCTCCTGTGTGTGTGAGTATGTTTGTCGCTCGCCAGCCCAGAGATTTGTGCTTCCATCCAAACAGTTCTCCGAAGATCTCATGATCGAACCCAAGCTCTTTGAGTTTGTCCATGGAGTTTTGTGGTAGTCGGACAAATGCGCCTGGCAATGTTGCCTCTTTTGCAGCATATTTGCTGAACATAGAATTCCACACATCCTTTCCTTCAGAGGAAGTCCGCTGCCAAGCTTTAGAGCTCTCTGGAGTGAACACTTGTTTGGAGGACATAATCTTCTCGTATGCCTCCTGCGTGGCTTTTCTGGTGGCAGCCGCCTCTTTCATTGTAGAAAAATGCCCCTTCAAAAGCTTCTTGTTGTCTAAAGATGTGAGCAAATCTACCCAGTGTTGAGCGTCTTCCTTCAGCTTAAACTCTTTCACAAAAGATTGGTCCGAGAGCTTGACACAAGCCTGGAAGACACCTTTCGCCTTGTTAAAGGTGATACCTTGTGATGGCTCTGAAGCTTCACCGACAGTGGTTGCTCCGATAGCCTTTCTGAATGTAGACCGCAGGTGATCCTCAATGAGTTTGAATTTTCCAGCTGCCATGACCTGATGCTCAAAACAAAAATGTACCAAACCCTATATTCCATCTATTTGTTTCTCAAGGTTCAACCTGAATGTTGGGGATATCGGAGGCATAGAGTTTTGAAGGTCGCGCAGCATATTCTAAGTATGTCCAACAACAAGCACGGTCTATGTTTTTGAAGGTTTTTGTCCTAAGGTTTCTCCCCAGCAGAGGAAAGTGAGGAAAGTTTGCTATAGGCTGCTACCGGGTGCCTTTCCTGAATTTGAATCGGATACCACCACCCAAGAAGAAAGGAATGTCTCTCACACGATCCATTGGACGTTCTCAGACTCGCTTCAACCCCAAACGCCTGTATTGAGATTCTATCTATGTGTTTCTCAAGGACAGGACTCAAGGTCTCAGAGAACCAGAAAGTCAGAGATAAGACGTGTTTGATGTTGACATAGGAATAATAAGGAACCTCCCCTTATTAACTTATTAATCAACCCCACCTCGAGCTAGTCAGTGAGTCAGTCAGTCAGTCATGAGTCACCGGTTGCCAAAGGACAAACTACACTAACTACACCAATGCTCTGCCAGGCAACATTTTTGTCCACACTCCCAAGAAATCTCTCTAGCACAATTCTTCATTTTCCCTTATTCAAACTCTATCAACATCTTTAGGTTTTGAAGCTCACAAGGGTACCCCTCACACAGGCCCTACCCCGCACTAGCTCGCACAGGATATTCCAAGATATTCCATGTACTTTTGACAGCAAGCAGGGTGTGATTATGACTTACTTTAAAAGTGTCATAGGTGTGGTTCCCTTAAGAAGAAAAGGTGCTTCGCTTCCCGGCCTTCTCCAAATCATCACGCAGTTGGGCAATAGTCGTCTTGCTGGGCATCGCAGGCAAGCCATTCTCCTCTAGGAAGGCCATTTTGTCCTTTTTTGTGCTCAAGTAGTCAAACCGTATCAACATCTTGAGCACTTGTTTCGCAAACTCCTCAGCAATCTGGGTGGCAATGGTTTCATCGTGCCATTCTGAAAAGTTGAACTTTCTGGTGAGCCAATACGCAAGCTTCACCGAGATGCAGGTTTTCTGCTTGCGAAGGGTGTAGCCGCTCACCTGCCATGTCTTGTTGTCTTCCTCTGATTTGGAAGGCTGCACGCTGGGCTCCTCAGTGGCTTTCTCTGCCGCTGTGTTCTTTTCATCTGGCTTCTCAACCTGTTTGGCCTTCTTCTTGGGTTGAGCTTTGGATTGAGCCAGATGGTTGTTCTGACTCTTCTGGATGGTGGCCATGACCTTCTTTTTCGCAGCCACTTTGCTAGCCTTCTTCTGGATGTTCACGAGCTTGTCCCTGAACATCCTGTCATAGTCCGATTTGAAGACTGGGTTTGACAGCTTCGTCCAGGCGTCGTTTACCACCTGCTGAGCTCGATGGGCCTCTGCATGTTGAAATTTATCCGGGTGGACATGCTTGCAAGTGTGCTTATAGGCAGCCTTAACAGCCTTGGGTGCATGTTCCAAAAGGGAAAAAAACGTTAGAGAGAAAAATAGATAGAATATTGCACAGCTATTGGAACATTTATACGCGGGTCTAGAAAGTTAACCCCCGCCCCCGTCACCGGAATGTTGGGGAAAAAAAAAAGGTTTTGAGACTGTGCTGGGTGGATCCTCAAGATCGAGTCACCTCCAGTGGTTGCACTCGCACTACCAAGAAGCGCTGCAAACAGGCACTCGGTTCAACATCAGGTCTCCGATGAGTGGGCTCACTCCTAAGACTCCGTACAAGTCACCATGCTTTGAAGCATCCAGAACCCTTTCCAGGATGCCCTCAGCCATAGCAGCTAGGTACAATCGCTTAAGGTCAGCACTTCTAGCCAGAGTGGCTGCGCCGTCGTGGCAAACTCTTCTTGAACATCTTGCCAAATCTTGCTCTGCAAATCGAACTCGTCCCATATTCTATGTACTGCGAAATGCAGGAGGAATGACAGGGGTAGAAGTGAAACGGAAATGAACAGGACATGACAAGGACATCACAGGGACTTGAATAGACATGGAGAGGACATGGACCGGCTAAAAAGTGAGAAGGACATGAAGGGACATGAACAGGACATGACAAGGACGTGAGAAGGGGTGACAATGGTATAAGCAAGTGTATCTGTGAAATGGTAACCCAGCGGAACGGCATAAGCAAAAGATACTAGGGCAAGAGTTTCCTGTCAAACTTTCTTCATTTTCTCAGATTTCCAATCCAAAAACTTAAAGAAAAAATATTTTTGGAGCAGGAACCAGCCACATCCGCAACCATCCTGGAGTAGATAGAATATGAACCAGTCCAGAAGCATGACCAGTTTTTCATTGGATTGAATTTTTCCAATATTCTATCTACTCCACATTACCAACCAAAAATGATGAATGAAAGAGAATGAATTAGATAAACACTTTAAAAACTGAAACATCAGGACATAGGATAATTTTGTTTTCTTCAAGAAAACTCTCTAGCACAATTCCTTCAGTTTCCCTTATTAAAACTCTATCAAAATCTCAAGTTTTTGAAGCTCACCAAGGGTACCCCTCACACACACACACATATTCTTTCACAACATGGTTTGACAATTTCACTTTTCACAAGTGTCCTTCAAACAGACTCCAAACCTCAAGGGAAGACAGGAACTGAAGGAATCTGACCAGGAAA